CCTGAAACGTCAGCTTTCCTGCTCCTCTGATGCTGCTTGGCCTGCTGTGTTCATCCAGCTCTACACCTTGTTATGTGAAATATTATGCGGTTGGGTTACAGTTATTCTTTGCTGAAATAAGTTTTGACAAAAGTACACACAGACACTCGTTAAAACGGTTTTCTTCATTATAATTTATTGAAGGTAAAAACGTTCTCTTAACCAATGGCTTTCACAACCCAAACAATAAACTTTTCACACCACTTGATCAGTACCCACATCCCTCAGGTATCACCATTTACTGTTCACAAGTGCAGTTATAAAGCAGTTCCATTGAGGCATGAAGCACACACTAGGCACATCTCCACCTGCCATGGGCATTCAACTTCAAACTGTTAGAAACACATGTCCGTATAACAATGTCCTGCCCCTCCCTGCACATAACCACAAACACACGCACACGCACGCACACGCATACACGCACACAAGCACGCAGACCTATTCACACAAAGACACTGCCAGACCCACAAACCTTCCCTGGTGCAAAAATAACACTATCTTTTCAAATAAAGAATTTGGATTCTCTGCAATCTGGCCTGGATTAAGCAGCACGAGACTGCAGTTAAAGGGAAAATGGCACACCACTGATTGGGAGGAGAGGGGTTGGCCAGAGGCAGTGAAGTGACTGGTACAGCAACATTCCCATCCCAGGGAATAATGCTATCTGTCTGGAGAATGGTTAGCTCAGCTGGTTAGAGTGTGGTGCTAATAATGCCAAGGTCATGGGTTCAATCCCCATCCTGACCAAGTGTGTCAGGTTGTAGCTACAAGTTGCATGCTTGGTGTTTCATGGCAGTGCCTGCTTTGAGGCAGCATGGTGGCTCAGTGGATAGTACTGCTGCCTCACAGCACCAGGGACCTGGGTTTGATTCCTCCCTCTGGTGACTGTCCATGTGGGTTTCCTCCCACAGTCCAAAGATGTGCATGCTAGGGTAGATTGACCATGCTGAAATACTCTGTAGTGTGTATAGGGGGATGCTCTGAGGGTTGGTGTGGACTTGTTGGGCTGAAGGGCCTGCTCCCACACTGTAGGGATTCTATGAGAACCAATTATCCACATGATGTGATCATCCCACATCCCAGCAATTCAGGGTGGGGGGGATAAATCCCTTAATTAAGATGCAGGGTATGCATGTTGGCATCAACCCCAACCTCACCTAGGATTGGCATCTATACAATGTGCCCATGCAAAGCAGCAGTTGTTATCCAGCTGACCTCTGGTATTGGAGTACGTTCAGGGTGCAGACCGACAACAGTCCCGAATCATGCAGGGTGCCCTGGTTTCCCCTTCATTCTGGTCCACCCACTCAACTCAGCAACAGTTCATACAGAGCTCTTCCCTCCTTTACAAACTGACGTGGAGCGACGAGGACAGACAACCGGAAAGGGAGAGGATGACCCAGGAATCTTGCACAATTCCTCTCAGGGTTTCAGAGTCTCAAATAAACTGCATACAACCCATTAGTTCCCCTAGTCGTAGAATCCCGACAGTATGAAGCAGGCCATTTGGCCCACCTTCTCCACACTGACCTTCCGAAGAGTATCCCACCCAGACCTGCATCCACCTTCCCTCTCCCCGTAACCCCACATTTACCATGGCTAACCCACCTAACTTGCACAACACTACAGGGCAATTTAGCATAGAGGTAATCCATCTGTCCTGCATATCTTTGGACTATGGGAGGAAACCCACGCAGACATGGGGAGAATGTGCAAACTCCACACAGACAGTCGCCCGAGATGGAATCGAACCCAGGAGCCTGGTGCTGTGAGACAGCTGTGCTAAACACTGAGCCACCGTGATGCCCCCAGCTCAGACACGACTATATCTCCTACACAGACCTCTGGCTCACAGCAAGTCCGTCCTACACAGGAGCACGGGTATTAGTTCCAACATTCCAAAAATGCAGGCTCGAAGGGCCAAATGGCCTATTCCTGCACCTATTTTCTATGTTTCTGTATCTCATCATGATACTTCATCAAGTATCCTGAGTTACAATGTCCGCTCTGGTTTCCAATCCTCTGTTCGGAAATGGTTTGTCCCTGGCTACTCCCATCAATATCTATCGTAGCTGTCAACGCCTCTATCAATTAAATTTCTCCTTTCACCTTTGCAACTCTAAAAGAGAACAAACCCTAACTTTTCCAAAGTAGAAGAACTTCTTCTCACAGAGAGTAGTGAATCTGTGGAATTCCCTACCCCAGAGGGCTGTTGAGGCTAGGTCATCAATTATACTCAAGGTTGAGATAGCTGTTTAATTAGTAAGGGAATCATGTATCATGGGGAAAAGGCAGGAAAATGGAGTTGAGGATTATTAGATCATCCATGATCTCACTGGACAGCAGAGCAAGCTCAATGGGCTGAATGGCCAACCTCTGCTCCTACAGGTTATGCTCTGAGCCCCATTCTCGTAAAATCTCCACACACACACACACAGTTGCACCACAAGTGATTTGGAAGAAACTAGCAGTTTTAACAGGGCAGTAATTTGATCTCAAGGTCCACAACACATCACGAGTAACTAGATTTGCATTCTAATGTAAGATTAAAAGTTAAATGCTCACAAAGGTTTTAGAAACTTGCTTGAAGAGAGCGACTATTTTGGTGATCAGTGGAGTTAGTGTTGTGACACAGCCTGGACTGAGAAGCAGGACATTAGGGAAATAAAACAGGTCCTCAACGGGATTTAATTCACCGGATCAACTGAGCACATGGGGTAGGTAGTGGCATAATGGTAATGTTATTAGACTAGTAACCTCTAGGTTACTCTGGATTCAAGGGTTCAAATCCCACCATAGCAGCAGGTGTAAATTAAAGTCTATTAATAAAGGTGAGAATTTAAAAAGTAATCTCAGCAACAGTGACTACAAAACTATCTTGGAGCCTCATAAAAGGTTCATCTGATTCACTACTTCCTGCTGCAGAAAACAGATACATCTGGTCAGAACTTTTAATCTTGCACTCATCAGGATACTTTGTAAGAATACTCAATTTAAGGGATAAGCCAACATTTGTACAGTGGGAAGTAAATGCTATGTGCTTGCTTTCCCCCTGAATTGGTATTCTTGCAAATTGTCCTGATGAGTGCAAGGTAAAAAAGTTTGACAAAATGCATTGTTTATTTCAGCAATATTCATGCTACCTGTTAACTAATGGCCTTTTAAGGAGGGAAATGAGTCACCTATACAGCCGTCTTGCATGTGACGCTGGAGTAATGTGGGTTGACTCTTAACTGCCCTCTGAAATGACCAGCTGCTCTGTCCGAGGGCAATTAGGAACGTGTATCAAATGCTGAGCTGGCCAGAAATGCCACCATCGGAAATTAAAAGATAAACACTTGGTTTAAGAATAATACTGAAAGTGACCATTTAGGCACATTACTTACAGTAAACCAATGAGAGATAAGCATTATCCATACTACAACATTAGAATAATGTTCTAGTTACCGAGCCCTTGCTCCTCGCTGTCAACTCTGACCCAATGTATGAATGTTGTGGATTCAATCCCCAGTCTGCACCCTAACCCTACTCAACTTGAACTTGAAACCTTGGTGACATTCCTAAGGGAGTGCTGCCCTGTCAGGCATAACATCTTTTGATTAAAACCGAGGTGCATTCCAGATCCTTACTTTGAAAAACAGTGAGGGAATTTCCACGGATATCCTGGGCAATATTTACCCCTCTCAATTCTGCTTGTGGGAACTCACTGCGCGCAAACTGGTTGCTAGGTTGTGAAGTGCTCTATGGTGGCCACAGATCCTGAGAGGTGCTATGTGAATGCAAGTCTTTCCTTTCTTCCCCTCAGCAAGTGGGTCCAACAAGCGGAGGAGACATATGTACTAGTTCGATTCCCAGTCTGTGCCAAGTGAGTTCACCTCAAAGCGGCCACCCTGAGGTGCGTTAAGGAGGCGGCCAAGGGCCTGTCACCTCCCATACTCCAGCCTGCCGAAAAGGACATGGGTTCGAGCCGGGGGGAGGCCGGTTACAAATAGGCAGTGACTAGGTTAGGTTCAGCTCTGACAAACCCCACCCCTTCCCCCACACTTCCAGCAGTCAAACAGGAGGGACTGGAGAAGACTTCCAGTGCCCCCCAGAGTCCAGCGGTGGGAATCCAAGGATGAAAACTCACTCATGAACGCAATCAGACGGCCATGGGGTGGGCTCCTGAAGGTTGAGTGTGCAGGGGGTGGTGGATGGGTTTAATTCAGACGATTGACCCTGTTGAGACATTCAAGGCCATTCTGGAGTGAATGCTCCCCTATTTGATGAGAGCAGTGGGGGATGGGGGAGGGGAAGGTTGGGGTAAAAGTGGACCCCTCTTACCCCTTCCACCTTGAGCACTTAAGCAACTCAGGCAGCTCCTCTCTCACCTAACCCAACGCAGCGTGAGCCCCAGGAAGGTTCTGAAGAAGGGTCACCGGACCTGAAACTCTGATTTCTCTCTCTCGGCACAGGTGCCGCTGGACCCGCTGAGTCTTTCCCAGCACATTCTGTTTCTGTACGCAGCGTGAAGCATTCCACACCTCGACACCATCAAAGAAATGATCCGGGTTACAAAGGGGAAAGGCCATGAGCCTGGCGCACGGATACATTCAACCGTCAAGCCCCAGGGAGTTTCTTTGGGGCGTCTAAAGGTGGGAACGGGACGTGCACTTAACCGTTCTGCAGGGATTACACCCAAACCAGTGCTCATATCCAAATCTTTTCCCCTTCACGCAGGGGAGTTGCTGTCTTCCTGTAACTCTCCCTCTGCTCCCCCCTCCCTCCCAAACTGCACCCCCACCCCCCCTACCACCCAATTGCTGGCTAACACTGGATAAAAACTTACACACAAACAACCCAAACAAATGACTACACCCTACATACCAATTGCTCTAGAAAATAAAAACAAGAAAGCATTTGTCAATAAGCTTCCAACACTTTGAACGAAGAAAAGGGTTTTACAAAGTGGTAGTCCAGATTGCCACAGTGCGGACATTGCTGGACGTTGCTGTACTCTGAGAAATACTGCATTCCCACTCGCACATCGATAACTGGCTTCCCGCAGTGTTTGCAGTTCAGTCTGGCCTGCAACAGAGCAACAACATTTGTTTAAGAGAAGGTCGAAATACAGTAGTCAATTTATTCTATATATATATATTACACACACACATATATTTAACATCATATCTGTATCCGATAGCACAGCACCCCCTTGGTGTCACACTGGTGTGTTAACCTCAAATCCAACTGTAGGATGTGAACCCACGACCAGGCAAAAGCACTTGAGTTGCAACTAAAGAACAGTGGACGGACTTAATGATTGAGAGTGACGAGAACGAGCTGAAAGATATTTTCAAGCCACTTGAACTTTACAAGATGCTGAAAGTAAGTGTAGCAAGCCTAGCAGTGATTTTAAGGAGATATTGGATAAATACTTCAGGGATATTGACTCGTACAGGCTACAGGGTTAGAGCTTGGGAATGGGACTGACTGGATTTCTCTACATATAACAGCATGGACTGAATGGACCAAATGGCCTCCTTCTGGGCTTAAATGGCTGTATATTCAATGCTTTAGAATGTAAGATGTAGGAGCAAAATTAAGTCATCCGGTCCTTGAGTCTGCTCTGCCATTCAATCATGGCTGATATGTTTCTCAACCCCATTCTCCTGCCTTCACCCTTTAACCCTTGATCCCCTTACCCATCAAGAACCTATCTATCTCTGTCTTAAATACAGTCAATGACTTGGCCTCCACAGCCCTCTGCGGTTATGAGTTCCACAGATTCACCAGCCTCTGGCCGAAGAAATTCCTCCTCATCTCAGTTCTAAAGAATCGCCCCTTCACTCTGAGGCTGTGCCCTCAGATCTTTGTCTCTCCTACTAGTGGAAACATCTTCTCCATGTCCACTCTATCCAGGCCTCTCAGTATTCTGTAAGTTTCAATCACATCCGCCCCTCATCCTTCTAAATCCCATCAAGTACAGAGCCAGATTCCTCAATTACTCCTGGTAATGACAAGCACTTCATCCCCAGCATCATTCTTCTGAACCTCTTCCAACACCCTCCAACACCCGTACATCCTTCCTGAGCTAAAGGACCCAAAACTCTTCACAATATTCTGAACGTGGACTGACCAGATCATTAATGTATAATGTGAATAGTCATGGTCCCAACACAGACCCCTGCAGAACTCCACTAGACACTGGCTGCCATCCTGAAAAAGGCCCCTTTATTTCCACTCTCTGCCTTCTGCGAGTCAGCCAATCCTCTACCCATGCCAGTACCTTGCCCCTAACACCATGGGCTCTTATCTTATTTAGCAGCCTCCTGTGTGGCACCTTGTCAAAGGCCTTCTGGAAATTCAAATCGATCACGTCCATTGGCTCTCCTTTGTCTAACTTGTTCATTACCTCCTCAAAGAATTCTAACAGATTTGTCAGGCATGCCCTCCCCTTGACGAAGCTGTGCTGACTCCACCTTATTTTACCACGCACTTCCGAGTACCCTGCAATAGCAGCATCATGGCTCTAACACAGGGCGACTCTTTGTGGGCTCTCTACAGCAGATCTTATTCTCACATTTCTTACAATCTCATCCGTAATAATGGACTCTAAAATCTTACCAATGACTGAGGCTAACCAGAGTATAATTTCCAGTCTTCTGCCTCCCTTTCTTCCTAAACAAGGACGTCACATTAGCCATTTTCTAATCTTCTGGTACCTTTCCACTGATTCCTGAAAGATCACCACCAATGCCTCTACAATCACCTCAGCTATCTCCTTCAGAACTCTGGGGTGTAGTCCATCTGGTCCAGGTGATTTATATTTGTAATGTATAAGCTTCCTGCTTTCTCAGCATCTTCTCCTCAGTGATGGCCACTACACTCACCTCTGCTCCCTGACTCTCAAAGTTTTGGTGTGCTGCTGATGTCTTCCATTGTGAGAAATGATGCAAAGTACCTATTCAATTCTCAACCATTTCTTTGTTCCCCATTACTATACCTCCAGCCTCATTTACCAGTGGTCCAACACCCATTCTTGCCTCTCTCTCTTACATTGCCAGCTAGCATACTCTCATATTTCATCCTTGTCCCCCGATTGCTTTTTTACTTATCCTCTGCTGGTTTTTAAAGGCTTCCCAACCTGGTTTCCCACTGCTCTTCACCACAGTGTAAGCATTAACATTTGCTTTTATGTCGTCCCCGACTTCCCTTGTCACCTATGGTTGTCTCATCCTCCCCTTTAGTATGTTTCTTCTTCCTTGGGATGAATTTCTGCTATGACTCTCAAATTTCTCCCAGAAACTCCTGCCATTGCTGCTCCACCATCTTCCCTGCTAGAATACCCTTCCAATCAACTCTGGTCAGCTCTCCCTTCAGTCTTTGGAGTTACCTTTACTCAATTGTAACACTTAGATCTGATTCCAGCTTCTCCCTCTCAAACTGCAGGGTCAAGTCTAACGTATTACGGTCACTGTCCCCAAGAGTTCCTTCATCTTGAACTCCCCAGTCAAGTCTGCCTCATTACACATCACCAAATCCAGAATTGCCTATTCCTTAGTGGGCTCTACCACATGCTACTCCAAAAAAACATCTTGTGGACACTCTACAAATTCCTTTTCTTGAGATCCTCTATCAACCTGATTTTTTCAGTCCACCTGCATCTGAAATCCCCCATGATTACTGCAATTGTGCCTTTCTTACTTGCCTTTTCTATCTCCTGACTGATTTACTTCCTGACATCCTGACTACTGCTAGGAGGCCTGTACATGACTCCCATCAGGGTCTTTTTTTCCCTTTGTAGTCCGTCAACTCTGCCCATATTGATTCTATGCCTACCAATTCTTTATCACTTCTTGGCCTGCCCTTTCGATAGGACATGTATCCTTGGATATTTAATTCTCAGCCCTGATCCCCTTGCAGCCCTGTCTCTGTGATACCCACAACATTGAAATTGGCGTGTACAATCTGTGCTACAAGCTCATTCACCTTGTTTCATACTGCGTTCATTTTCGTACAACAGCCTCAGTCCTGGGTTGACTGTACTTTCTCATTGCTATCCCCTTATCTGCTGTGCCTGAAGTTAGATTCCTGATGCTTCCCATACTTTCTGCCCTATTCCTCGTTCTGGAAACTCTAATAATCTCTGCTTAGCCCTCCCCCACTTTCCACGCAACTGAACTCACCCCCCCAACTTTTTTTTTTTAAAAGCCCCATCCACAGCCCTCGTTATGTGATTCACCAGGACTCTGGATCCCAGCATGATTCAGGTGGAACAGTTCCCTCCTTCCCCTGGACTGGTGCCAATGTCCCATGAATTCAAACCCCGTTTCTTCCACACCATCTTCAATCTTGCGCCAATTAGTTCATAGGGCTTAGAGATTACCACCTGTTCGGTTCTGCTTTCTAATTTAGCCCCAAGCTGCTCATATTCCCTCAGCAGAACTTCTTTCCTCTTTTCTACCTTTATTGTTGGCACCTGTGGGGACCATGGCAACTGGATCTGCCCCCTACCACTCCAAATTCCTCTGCAGCCCAGATGAGATATCCTGAACCCAGACAACACAGCCTTCGGGACTCTCAATCCTAGCCACCTCTCAATCCTAGCCACAGTGAACAGTGACTACCTCCCTGACTATACTACCCCCAATTACAACTCCATTTCTCCTTCGCTCCCCCCTCCTCAACATCTTGATTGGCTCCCTGTGCCACGGTGCTACAGTCAGTTTGCTCATCCTCCTCACAGCCCTACTCTCATCCACACAGAGAACAAGAATCCCAGTGCCAAGCTGGGAAACTGGGTACTATGATCCCGTTAGACTGTACATGTGGTAGGGGTGGGGCTGGATTGTAACACGATTGGCAGCAGACACACTGTATGCCATGGTTGAACAACCTGCCAACACCACCTGCCTTGGCAACAAATGATGCGATGCTGCCCAGATCCAGCAAGGAACTGCATCTTGAAAAGAAGGCGTCACCTTCCTAAGGCCAGGAAGAGATTATGGGCGGCACGGTGGCTCAGCGGTTAGCGCTGCTGCCTCACGGCGCCAGGGACCTGGGTTCGATTGCAGCCTCGGGCGACTGTCTGTATGGAGTTTGCACATTCTCCCCGTGTCTGTGTGGGTTTCCTGCCAAAGTTGTGCAGGTTAGGTGGATTGGCCATGGGAAATGCAGGGTTACAGGGGTGGGGTACATCTGGGTGGGATGCCCTTCAGAGGGGCAGTACAAACTCAATAGGCCAGGTATTCCGCTCTGTACGGATTCTATGAACTATGCAGGCACCACAAAGCTGTAACTCTAGGCAGATCACCAAACAGCACTGCCTTAGAAAGGAGCAGACGAGAGACAGACATACAACCCACCTGACAGCACGGAGACGCAGCCAAGATGTCGTAAGTGTACATGGTGCCCAGCTGATGCCAACTCCCATCCCATCGCGACTTGCATTTAATGCAAATTATCTTATGTACCCCTTCGAGGCAGTCCACGCAAATGGCATAGAGATGCATGAGCCTTCCTGCAATCAGACCAGGGGCAAAGTTCGAATCAGGTCCCACTTTTACTGATACGAGTTACAACGCAGACAGTGTTACTTGTCATAGCTCTGATTGCTATGAAGCATTCACAGGATGTGGGCATTGCTGACTAGGCCAGGCAATTAATGCTCATTCCCTAATTACCCAGAGAATAGTAACATTGCTGCAGGTCTGGAGTTACGTGTAGGTCAGGCCAGGTAAGGATGGCAGATTTCCTTGCCTAAAGGCCATTGGTGAATCAGGTGCACAAACAGAGATTGCTGGAAAAGCTCAGCAGGTCTGGCAGCATCTGTGGAGAGAAATTAGAGTTAACGTTTCGGGTCGAGTGACCCTTCCTCAGGACTGCTCAGGACCAGATGGGATTTTAAGACAATTGACCGAGCTTATATAGCCACCACCAGGCTGCATTTCCATTCCAAATATTTCTATTGAATTCAAATTTCTCCGCTTGCCGTGGTGGGATTCAAACTTCCACCTGGGGTGCTGGATTACTCATCTAGATTTCTAGTAACAGTGACTACAGTTCAAAAACAAAACAGCTCACAGGCTGTCAGTCGCTTTGGAAGATTTTGACGTTTCGAAAGGTGCTATAAAAATGCAAGTCCTTCTTTCTAAATCAGTGTTTCAGTCTGCCACAGATAGCTGCGGTGCAGATTGACATCTGATCTGTACAACTCTCCCCCACCCACCAACCCACACTCGATACATCAGCTCCCAATGATTATAAAGATTCCTGGCTTCCCTTATGAGCAGGAAATTGACCACAACTCTGAAAGCCAAAGCTGAACTGACTGAAATCAAAAAGTTGCTGCAGCAGTTTCCTCAGGGTGCAGAGGGCTGAGAGTGGGAAGGAGTTGTAACAGTGTCAGTGCTTTGTCTTATTATGTTCCCCAGGCTCGGGAAGTGGGAATTTCCTGGTCTGAGCTCATTTCAGGCAGGGCTACAGTAAGGAAGTAACTGCAGCACTGTACTGTTTCAAAATGATGGTGGGGCGGGGGGGTCCAGACAGAGAAGATAGGGAAAATCTGTTCCTGCTTGTGAAAGGATTGAGAACAAGAGGGAGTAGATTTGAACTAATTGGCAAACAGGAGGAAAAGCAACACAGAGAAACAGTGAGCAGTCAGGCTCTAGAATGTAGAGTTTGAGCGTGTGCTGGAGTCCAAGTCAGTCAAGGCTTTCAATGTCAAGTTAGCCCATTATCTGGAAAGGAAGAATACGCAGTATCACAGTGAGAAGGCAGGAGACAGGCACACAGTGATTAGCCTACACACAGACAGAAGGTACAGACTGGGGATGCAAATGTTATTTTTAAAACTGCACCCATTTAAACTATTAGAATTATATCGGTTAACCTTTCAAATATTAACAGATGTTTACTAAAAGTAAAGCACCAATTAATTTCTCCCAGCGCTACAGTTTAAATTAAACTTGCCAAAAATGAGAAGAAAACATAGTTAAATCTGTAAGTGCAACAAGCTTTGTATTAACCAGCACCTTATGAACTGACAAAAATTATATACTTCAAACACTGCAATGTTTACTGCACTATCGCAATCACTGAGTAGTCAGTTCAGGATGCAAGTGAGAAGGCTCTCTGCTGGCAAGTTTTTTTTAAGGCAAAGTTGCATTATTATTTAAGTGATTTATACTGTAAATAGAGTACATCAGTGATGTGTATACCCCCTGCATTATGTTTCTATTACTTAGTGTGTGTTTTTACATTGATTATGTGGGCCTCTTGTTTATCCATAAATATCTGATCAATTGGCATATTCCTGCCCTATGGTGCCAGTTAATAAAAAAATTTGCTGGACAACCTTAGCAACACTTTACACATTATTCTCAAACGATTTTGCAAGAAGTAATTTACTTGCTGCATTTTTCTAATCTGTTTTAAACGTTAACAGCAATATATCAATGGCAAGACCAACACTTTACCATTTTCCATTTGACATCTCTAGAGGAAACATGATGGGCTGAATGGCCTTCCTCTGTGCAGTAATAATTCTGTGATTCCAGTTTGGAGAATCAGGGATCTTTCCTCTGATCTTGCATGCATCAGGACAATTCACAAGAATGCCAAATTATGTCTGAAAACCAACTGGTTGGCAAGTGGGCTATGATTAGTAGAAGCTTTGTCACGGAGAATTTCCCAGTTAACGATAACGGTCAGGGCTTGCTTAAATTTTAAGCCAGTCGGGTTGACTCAGATTTCTCTAGGACATACCTCAACTGCTGAACCTGTGACTGACGTCCATGTTGTTTGAATTGAAACAGGGACAGTGCATGTACATGGTTTTTCTACTGTGAAGAACAGCAGCCTGAGATTATCTGGGATTATCTAGCAAATGCTGTCCACTTGCAGAATTCAATTTAATGTTGTGCTGCCAATTTTGCTAATAGAGCCTGGTTGCGTAGCAACAAGCAAGGTCCATACTGTATCCAACCAGCTCATGCTAGCAAAACCCGCAACATGATATCTAAAATTAGATATGGTTCCACAATTGGAAAGCACTTGCTGGATAATCCCAAAGTTTGAAGAATTATGCTGACAGCTGATTTCGGATTGTCAGTCACCCTCACATTGTGGCGCATGTGTGTACCAGAGACTACATACATTAATACACAGGACCAAGCTCTTTAGCAACAAATAGAACATGTGTATGCTCTATACCTGTTACAACTCAACAATATAGGTAGCTGCCATTCTCTGGTTCATTTCTTGGAGCTACACTGATCAGAGTCAACACGCCTGATTTAAAATTTAAACAAAGCCTTGCAGTTAACTGTCATTCATAATTAACTGGTACATTCTTCATGGCCTGTATCAATCAGCACTCTCAACCCGTACAGTACAAATGCTGGTGTTCCCCTTAAACTGGCATTCTTGCCACTTGCCCTGATGAATGCAGGATGGAGATGTTCAACACAACGTGTTTCTTTTTAAAGAAACTTCTCTCAGGAAACCTCCCCCACCGAGTTCTCATCCTCCCCGAACCCCTCCCAACATTACCTCTGCTCCCTCCCCATATCCTGTGTGTCTCCATCTATACAGCCACACATCCTGCTACGTGCACAGTGCAACCGTAACAAACTGCGTACGTCCTGAGAATCAGCAGCGGAGGTGTTGGATATTGCCACTGCTTGGGAATTATACCCAGCAGAAGCAGGGGAATTATCAGGGCGAGCTTCAAAATCTCCCCTCCCGCTACCGCATCCCAAAACCAGTCCAGCTCGTCCCCGCCTCCCTAACCTGTTCTTCCTCCCACCTATCCCCTCCTCCCACCTCAAGCCCCACCCCCATCTCCTACCTCCTAACATCATCCCGCCCCCTTGACCTGTCCGTTCTCCCTGGACTGACCTATCCCCTCCCTAACTCCCCAACTACACTCACCTTTACTGGCCCCATCCCCGCCTCTTCGACCTGTTTGTTTCCTCTCCACCTATCCTCTCCTCTTTGCATCTTCTATCCGCCTCCCACTCTCTCCCTATTTATTTCAGAACCCCCTTCCCCTCCCCCTTTTCTGATGAAGGGTCTAGGCCCGAAACGTCAGCCTCTCTGCTCCTAGGATGCTGCTTGGCCTGCTGTGTTCGTCCAGCCCTGCACCTTGTTGTCTCGAATTATCAGGGCCTCAGTTTCCCTTGTGTCTGCAGACCACTCCTCAATAACAGCGAGCTGATGGCAAAAAAAAAGTAGGATAAAGACAGGCATGGGTTTCCTACATTACAGTCAGTGGTGGTCAAGCACTTTGAGATGCACAATGCTCCCGCTCCACAACCTCCCCCCCACCAATAAATTAAACCCGCTCTCCAGCTCTGGCTAGGCAAAACAGCAAAATCTCTTCACTGATAGTAGGAACTGCAGATGCTGGAAAATCTGAGATAACAAGGTGTAGAGCTGGATGAACACAGCAGGCCAAGCAGCATCAGAGGAGCAGGAAGGCTGACGTTTCGGGCCTAGACCCTTCATCAGAAATGAGGGAGGGAAAGGGCGTTCTGAAATAAATAGGGAGACAGTGGGAGGCGGATAGAAGATGGATACAGGAGAGGATAGGTGGAGAGGAAACAGACAGCTCAAAGGGGCAGGGATGGAGCCAGTAAAGGTGAGTGTAGGTGGGGAGGTAGGGAGGGGATAGGTCAGTCCAGGGAGGACAGACAGGTCAAGGAGGCGGGATGAGGTTAGTAGGTAGGAGATGGGGGTGGGGCTTGAGGTGGGAGGAGGGGATAGGTGGGAGGAAGAACAGGTTAGGGAGGCGGGGACGAGCTGGGCTGGTTTTGGGATGCGGTTGGGGGAGGGGAGATTTTGAAGCTTGTGAAATCCACATTGATACCATTGGGCTGCAGGGTTCCCAAGCAGAATATGAGGTGCTGTTCCTGCAACCTTCGGGTGGCATCGTTGTGGCACTGCAGGAGGCCCAGGATGGACATGTCGTCTGAGGAATGGGAGGGGGAGTTGAACTGGTTCGCGACTGGGAGGTGCAGTTGTTTATTGCGAACCAAGCGTAGGTGTTCTGCAAAACGGTCCCCAAGCCTCCGCTTGGTTTCCCCAATGTAGAGGAGGCCACAACGGGTACAGCGGATGCAGTATACCACATTAGCAGATATGCAGGTGAACATCTGCTTGATGTGGAAAGTCTTCTTGGGGCCTGGGATGGGGGTGAGGGAGGAGGTATAGGGGCAGGTGTAGCACTTCCTGCGGTTGCAGGGAAAAGTGCCGGCTGTGGTGGGGCTGGAGGGGAGTGTGGAGCGGACAAGGGAGTCACAGAGAGAGTGGTCCCTCCGGAAAGCAGATAAGGGTGGGGAGGGAAAAATGTCTTTGGTGGTGGGGTCGGATTGCAGATAGCGGAAGTGTCAGAGGATGATGCGTTAGATCCGGAGGTTGGTGGGGTGGTACGTGAGGACGAGGGGGATTCTTTTTTGGTTGTTATTGTGGGGACGGGGTGTGAGGGATGAGTTGCGGGAAATGCGGGAGACATGGTCGAGGGCGTTCTCGACCACTGAGGAGGGGAATTTGCAGTCCTTGAAAAACGAGGACATCTGAGATGTACGGGAGTGGAATGCCTCATCCTGGGAGCAGATGCGGCGGAGGGGAAGGAATTGGGAATAGGGGATGGCATTTTTGCAGGAAGGTGGGTGGGTGGAGGTGTATTCTAGGTAGCTGTGGGAGTCGGTGGGCTTGAAATGGATATCGGTTTCTAGGTGGTTGCCCGAGATGGAGACAGAGAGGTCCAGGAAGGTGAGAGAGGTGTTAGAGATGGTCCAGGTGAACTTAAGGTTGGGGTGGAAGGTGTTGGTGAAGTGGATGAACTGTTCGAGCTCCTCGTGGGAGCACGAGGCGGCGCCAATACAGTCATCAATGTAACAGAGGAAGAGGTGGAGTTTAGGGCCAGTGTAGATATGGAAGAGGGATTGTTCCACGTAACCTACAAAGAGGCAGGCATAGCTTGGGCCCATGCGGGTACCCGTGGCCACCCCCTTTGTCTGTAGGAAGTGGGAGGAATTGAAAGAGAAGTTGTTGAGGGTGAGGACGAGTTCGGCTAAGCGGATGAGGGTGTCAGTGGAGGGGGACTGGTCGGGCCTGCGGGACAGGAAGAAGCGGAGGGCCTTTAGGCCATCTGTATGGAGAATGCAGGTGTGTGGGGACTGGACGTCCATGGTAAAGATGAGGTGTTGGGGACCGGGGAATTGGAAGTTCTGGAGGAGGTGGAGGG